ACTCCCCCCCAAAAAAAACCAGTTTGGCATCTTCTGATGGCGTCCTGCCTCGGTTTCTTTTTCCAGATGATCATGGAGCCCACCAGCCCTAAATTGCTGCCAGATCCCTTGAAGGAACCGTATTACCAGCCGCCTTATACCCTGGTTATTGAACTCACCGATGTCCTGCTGCACCCTGAATGGTCGGTCTGTATCCTTTCCAGGAATTGGGGATGGGGGCAGCGCGTTCCCCTCAGAGCCAGGGGGCACGGCGGGCACTTGGTTGCCACCCTGCTCCATCTACCCACCGTTTTTGAGTCGTGGGGTCCTTGGTGCTCTCTGAGCTGGGTGGTTTCCTTGCAGACGTTTCATTACCAAACTAGCTATCAACTTCAGTGCTAGAAGGGAGTGGGCTGATTTTAGCTGGTTTGATAATGAAACGCCTGCAAGAAAAGCACCAGAATATCTGCCAGGTCCGATGGAGATTATTAGTTGATAATTGTCCTTTCTGCCTAGCTGGCGTTCGCTTTCTCTCTCTCTCTTTTTTTTTTTAATTTTTAATTTTCTTTAATTTATTTTTTATTTTTCCAAACTTTCCCCCATACATATACCGTGATATTTATCAGATATTAACATACATTCTTTTTACATTCTTATATATAAGATACTTTTCATGAAATAAATACATACACATGACTTTTGGTGTTGCTCGCCCATTTCCCCTTTCACTGCATCCCCACTCCTTCTTCTCTACCTTCTTCCTCCCTTCCTTCTCTTTCTTCCCTACTTCCCTCTTCTTCCTCTCCTCTCCTCTTCTCTTTCATCACTCTCTCCTCCAACCTTCCTACTTCCTTCTCCCCTCCTTTACTCTTTTCTCTCTCCTCTCCTTTCTTCCCTCTCATCCCTCTGCAGATACAGTTCAGGGGTCATGTCTCTCAAGGTCTCTCCCTCTTTCTCTTGTCCTCAGTTAGTGACCGGCTGGCGCTTCAAAAAGAGGCCGGGCATCGACAACCTCTTCCAACAGTTGGCTCCACTCTACGAAATCGTCATCTTCACCTCCGAGACAGGCATGGTGAGTGCTCCAGGGAGGGGCCCTGCCCGCTGGCAAAGGGGTTGGGGAGGTAGCCCCTGTGCCCCCCCCTCCATTTTAAAGAGGCTTCTTTAAGTACGCAGAATGAACTTGTCCCCGCTGTTGAAATTAAAATCCCTTATTTATTTTTAAATGAAGAACAGATCCTTCAGCTCAGGAGCCTCCACGACTGGGCAGCTTTAAGACTTGGGACTTCCAGAACTTGGGGGGAATTCTGGGAGTTGAAGTCCCCAAGTCTTCAAAGTTGCCCCGTTTGGGAGGCTCTTGTGCTTTAGCTAAAACTCCCTCGTAGTTCCAGCCGCTGCTGGGCCATCAAACCCTGTTCTTGAGTTGAGGTTTGTGCCCAGCTGGGGGAATTGGACACAAATGTCCCAGCAAAGGAATGGAAGGGCGACCCAGCCTGGACTTTGTGTCCAATGCTCATGCTGGCCACACAGATGCAGAGTGACCGCAGGGGATAACCTCAGACCATGTCAGGCCATCGAGAGAGGGAGGGGCAGCTTAGCACAGCTGGTTAGCCCGTGCCCCTGTGCCCCTGGCCCTCTCCTCCCTTCCACGCTCCTCCTCTCTCACGCTTGAGTGGTGGCAGTGGGGTCTCTCCCAGGGAGCGTGCCACGGCTCATCTGAATATGAATGGCCCCCTCCCCGGCCCTTGCATCCCATTGAATCCGAACCATTGCTGCACTAATTGAGGGGGCCTGTCTTTGGGGAGAAAGCAGCACCCCAGTCTTCACCCCGAAGGCCAGGAACTGCTCTGGGAAAAAGGCTGCAGGGGTCCACCTCTGCCTTCTGGGAGCTGAGTTAACCCGTGGGATCCAGCTAGGCCAGGGGTAGGCAACCTGGGCTCTTTTATGACTCCCGGACTTCAACTCCCAGAATTCCTGAGCCAGCCGTGCTGACGGGGAAAGGGAGAGGTTTCCAAGCTGAGCCAGGCTGGCTCAGGAATTCTGGGAGTTGAAGTCCACGAGTCATAAAAGAGCCAAGGTGGCCTAGCCCTGAGCTGGGCCAAATCCAGAGCTGAGGCTCTAAAATGGGCAGGCACAGGACTCTGCTAACACCTTGAGAAAAAGTACACGAGGATGTCAAATCAGGACAAGATCTTAGGTATTCTGAATAACTTATGTTATGTATTCTAAGAATATTTTAGATATTCTAAAGAATACCTGTAGTCCTCCACTTACGACTACACTTGAACCCTTTTCTGTTGCTAAGTGAGACATTTGTAAGGTGTGAGGTGTGCCCCATTTTACGACTTTTCTTGCCACTGCTGTTGAGTGAATCACTACAATTGTTAAATCAGATTGTCTGTGCACCCTGCTGAAGGGGTTTCCTGAGAGCGCACAGAGAGCATCAGAGTCAGACCACTTTCAGCTTCCTTTGAGTCGAGCTGATCTTGCTCGTGGCACCTGGACGTGTTTGAAAGTTCTTTTGGAATCATTTGGGGCTGGTCATTCCTTTCTGCCTTCTTTCTCCTCTCCCAGACAGCTTTTCCCCTCATTGACAGCGTCGATCCCCACGGCTTCATCTCCTACCGGCTCTTCCGGGACGCCACTCGCTACATGGACGGGCATCATGTTAAGGTAGGGCTGCCGCATGATGTGGGAGGGCCACGGGGCCCCGTGTGGGAGGGATCCAGTGATCCTCTGTAATGGCTTGAGAGTCGCACCGGAGGGAGCCATACGAAGCGGCCAGCCAGCCTAAGGTGGGACTAGAACTCCCAGCCTCCTGGTGATTGGCCCAAAGTCACCTAGCCGGCTTTCATGCTTAAGGACTAGAACTAGAACTCCCAGCCTCCTGGTGATTGGCCCAAAGTCACCCAGTAGACTTTCATGCCTAAGGACTAGAACTAGAACTCCCAGCCTCCTGGTGATTGGCCCAAAGTCACCCAGCTGGCTTTCATGCCTAAGGCGAGACTAGAACTCCCAGCCTCCTGGTGATTGGCCCAAAGTCACC